GAGAGAGAGGAGGAGGAGGAGGGGAAAGAAAAAGAGAGAGTGAGAACTAGAAAGAGAGAGGGAGAGAAAGAGAGAGAAAGAGAGAAAGAGAGAGAGACAGAGAGAGAGAGAGAAAGGGGGGCGGGGGGGAGAGTTTGTTATTAGAAATATTGATTCCAGTCGTTTTCTCTCTACGTCGGTACACAAGCTGACCAGGTGCAATACAGTCATTATTGTACACAGTATGGCCAGTCCAATCTTCATACATGACGTGTATTATAATAACGTCAATTTGGTCAGATAATTGCAATCAGAGTCAAACTTTCACGTTAGAAAATGTAACCAGTAACAATCTGACAAGACTATTAAATCTATAGAGATCTATGAGCCTTTCCTAAAAGTTCGTCTTTCTGAGGAACTGTTCTCTTTGCAGAGGTATGAAGGGAGGAAGAGAATGAATATCCCATCATATTTGGTGTCAATAGATCCAGTAAATGCCACTGATAAACTGGGAGAAACGTTAGGTCGGTGGGGGAAGTCTTTTTAAAAAAATAATATAAAGAAAAAGCCACATGTATGACATGGCCTGTAATATAAATTAATACATAACGCGAACCCCCACCAAACCTTATTCAGGCCACACATAATAGAGAAAAAAATAACCAAACTCGTGTTGTGAAAAGAGAATCAATAATGTAAGGTCCTTTTTTGTTTGTTTTTGTAAAGTGTTTTACGGCGCTCGCAACTGCATAATGTCACATGAGGTCGCGGGACACACCTAATATTTTCAGTTTGGTAGGAAATTTTGAATTTTGCCCGGGTGGCGGTAAGGTCCTTTTCTGTAAACTGATCTCATAATCTGGAGTTAAAAACCTGTGCTGCCCTGCCCGTAGTACATGTCTGACTGAATCTATTAATAAATGTGTTGGGTTTTTTTCCTTTTATTTTGACACCAGTACTTTCTTCTACTTGACGCCACTCTTACTCGTGGATGCATGCAATAACTTGAGGTGGAAGAGAGAATAGAGTAATGAGCTAGGCTTCAGTCTTCAAACCGTTGTAGAGTTATAACATACTCTAATGTATGGTATGGTCCACCTCGAACATGCCCAGAAATCCTAGATCGGGCGTGTAGCCTGGCGCTAGTCACCCGATATCGGGCGAGTATCCTGACGCTAGCCATCCGACATCGGGCGAGTAGCCACTCCGGTCATTATAATAATAATGTAAAAAATCCACTTGGGGGGGGGGGGGGGGCAGGGTTGGGTGTTTTAGAGGGTTTGTTTGCTTGTTTGAGAAAAGAGAAGTTCATCGACACTATAACAGTCATTTCGTGCAGGGAAAAAGTAAGACAGTAACAACAGGTGGAGAGTAAAGAGGTGGGACCTACCAGTAGCGCCCTCCAACCACCAGCGATTGAACAGTTGATTGTCTTATACATGTGGTCATTTAAACAGGTGAATGCCTTATACAGGAGGCCGTTTGTACAGGTTATTGTCTTATACAGGTGACCGTTTGTACAGGTGATAGTCTTATACCGGTGGCCGTTTGTACAGGTGATTGCCTTATACAGGTGGCCATTTGTACAGGACATAGTCTTATACAGATGGCCGTTTGTACAGGTGATTGTCTTATACAGGTGGCCGTTTGTACAGGTGATTGTTTTATACAGGTGAATGTTTGTAAGACTGATTGTCCTATACACGTGACCGTCTCAAGTCCGTTTCAACAATATCATGTGTTTGTATCATACAGATGACCGTTTGAGTAGTTATAACAATATTATGCGTGTGTCTTATATAAGGTGACAGTTTGAGTAGTTTCAACAAATACATACACACGTTTGCGCGCGTGTGTTTTGGTGAGGGGTCGGACAGCACGTGTCCAGAGGCGTGACAACGATATCTGATACTTTACTGCTGGTCACTCTCTGTCTGTCTGTCTCTCTCTCTCAGTGTCTCTCTCTCTCTCTCTCAGTCTCTCTCTCTCTCGCTCTCTCTCTCTCTCTTGCTCGCTCTCTCTATCTGTCTCTCTCTCTCTCTATCTGTTTCTCTCTCTCTCGCTTTCTCTCTCTCTCTTGCTCGCTCTCTCCTATCTGTCTCTCTCTTGCTCTCTCTCTCTGAGTCTCTCTCTGTGTCTCTGTGTGTGTGTGTCTTTCTTTCTCTCTCTCTCTCTCTCTCTCTCTCTCTCTCTCTCCCCCTCTCTTTCTCTGGCTCGCGTCTCTCTCTCTGGCTCTCTCCCTCTCCCTCTTTCTATCTCTCTCTTATTTCCTTTCTCTCTTTATGTCCCTCGGTCCACTGGAAAGGGGGGGGGGGAGTTGAGTGTAATTTATCTACACTTAAACCTTTAACCATAATTCACTGGCGCCACAAACACACTGTGACAACCAGTGTCTGTGGTGTAGCAGTTAGGCATTTCGCTGTCCAACTCAGGAAACCCGAGTTCAATTCCCGTTACAGAAACACGAATGAATAGACAGTTGATTTTTGGATCTTGGGAGACAGAGGAGCTTCTGCACCAGCAGGACTAAATAATTGCGGGAAGACATGGAATAACATGAAGAGGCCAGCCTAGGATAGGAAAGGGTGAGAAAGTGTTTGTTCATGGCCTATACCCTGATGGAGGGTGAGAAGGTGTTTGTTCATGGCCTATACCCTGATGGAGGGTGAGAAAGTGTTTGTTCATGGCCTATACCCTGATGCAGGGTGAGAAGGTGTTTGTTCATGGCCTATACCCTGATGGAGGGTGAGAAAGTGTTTGTTCATGGCCTATACCCTGATGGAGGGTGAGAAAGTGTTTGTTCATGGCCTATACCCTGATGCAGGGTGAGAAAGTGTTTGTTCATGGCCTATACCCTGATGGAGGGTGAGAAAGTGTTTGTTCATGGCCTATACCCTGATGGAGGGTGAGAAAGTGTTTGTTCATGGCCTATACCCTGATGCAGAGTGAGAAGGTGTTTGTTCATGGCCTATACCCTGATGGAGGGTGAGAAAGTGTTTGTTCATGGCCTATACCCTGATGCAGGGTGAGAAAGTGTTTGTTCATGGCCTATACCCTGATGCAGGGTGAGAAAGTGTTTGTTCATGGCCTATACCCTGATGGAGGGTGAGAAAGTGTTTGTTCATGGCCTATACCCTGATGGAGGGTGAGAAAGTGTTTGTTCATGGCCTATACCCTGATGCAGGGTGAGAAGGTGTTTGTTCATGGCCTATACCCTGATGCAGGGTGAGAAAGGCAGTGATGATGATGAGCACTGACAAAACACTGAGTACTCACCCCTGGTACGTCGGTTCCCGGAGCTCCTGTGCCCACCAACCGGCTGTACCGAAGCCGTGTCCGACTCACTGGCCCGCTGACCGCGCCCGTTGGTGGGCGTGGTGCGAGTGGCCGGCTCCGCTTCAACAGCTCTGGCCTCCCCCGGAGACTGTAACTGGATGACGCTAGTGTCTGAGACCCAACGCTTGTGGCCCATTCGGCGGGTCGCGGTCGTGGGTGGCGGGTGGGCCGCTTTGCTGGTGGAAGAACCTGTGTTCGAACCCCCCGGTCCGGAAGAATTGCTGCTGATGTCAGATTGGAGGGATAGCCCTCGCTCCAGGGACGTGCCTCTGCTCAGAGGTGGGGGGATGTAGACGAGACCCGACGACCTGAGGGAACTCCGGTCGCTTAGAGCGCCCGGCGACGGTGAGGGGGTGGCGGCAGGTGAGGTCGTCTGGTACAAGTCGCTGGCCGTGTCCATAGATAGAGGGCTCAGCCCGACCGCCGACGGGACAGACAGTTTGCTTCTCTGAGAAAGCCGGGAGTCACCCCGGGAGGCTAGGTTCGGATCTGATTTCACTGCTGCTAGTTTCGTTTCACTTCCGTCGTGCTGGAAGGCAGAAGTGTCGGAAATACCTGGAAAGACTGAGGGTACGCTGGCACGCTGCCCGTGAGAGAAATACACTTTGTTCGTCGTATGTTCTGACTGCGAGTCATTCCCTAAGGCAGAGGTTCCATCCCCATTTGAAAGAGGACCGAGGTTAGAAACTTTTGAAGCTGTCAACGGTTCATTCACAAGACCGTGGTTCAGAGCCTCCGCATCAATTCCCACGGAAATCAGAGAATTTGATCGGGACGTACTGACGTGCTCAGACGGCTGCTGTTCGAATCCAGCACCTTGACCCAGTTCTGACACTATGCTCGTTGAAACTAAACTGTCGGAACCGACCTCTGAGAAACTGGAATGTGCAGACGCCGCAGATAATGTGCTGGATTCCTCGTGGGGTTCGTTTTGTTCTGAGGAATGTACTGAGGGCTGGTGAGAGTCACTAGCTCCACCCTGACCACTTCCTTGTTGCAGAAGTTTGACCGCTTCATTCGTCACGTCCTCAAAACTGGAGTTGGAGCCCGCTTGAGGCATCTCGGATGAGGAGGCGGAGGAAGAGGAGGGAGGTTGGAGGGCTCCACATGAGGAGGTGGAAGAGGAGGAGGGTGGGACGGCTGTGGAGTTGGGGTGGAGTAGGCCGCCATCACTAGACGATGGCTCCGTCTGCTCAACGCTCTCAGCCGTGTCCTGATCCCGACCGGTCGAGGAGAAGACCCCAGCGCTGGTCGGAGGAGCGGTCAAGGCAGAGGTGAGGAAGTAGGGGTCAGAGGGCGACTTCTGGTTGATGGGGCCGAATAAACCCGAGAGGGCAGGGTCAAAGGCCAATGACTGGGTGGAGCTGAACTCCAGACCTGTGTATGACACTGTTCAGGGGGGGGGGGGGGAGAGATATTAAAGATCGTAGTGCGCACGGAGCTTGCTGTGAGCAAGGATAGGCCTTAAACAAATCCTTTTTGAGTTTCACAACATGTCAAACTTTTTCGAATGCAATTCTTTGAATATATTGATAACAACTCTAAATATTCTTACGATTTTGATAGAGCAAAAAGAACATTTGTTCTCATGGTTTTAGTAACTCAAAATGGCCCAAAATGTCAGATAGAACTTTGTAATTCTGAGGTAGTGAAATGCCTTTTTTTTCATGATAACTTTACAGGGCTTTCAATACAATTTCAGCTTCTTTACAAAGTGGCAAGAAGGTATTCTATTCAATATTTAAGACCACAGGCCCATATCACATAAAGCATAAGAATTTTATAATTGTGAGAGAAATTTTTTAAACCCCAACAGCATAAATTATCAATGACACACATATCAATATGCTTTCGAGGAGAAAAACAGTAGTCTTAGACATGCAGATGTCTAGGACAGCGCCATTCACTACAATATGTGCCACAACACGATGAATCAATTTGGGGGCATATAGAGTTATTGGTATCAACTAAAAGCCTGTCCATTTGCCTTGCTTTTGATGAAAAAAATATCCATTTTTATCTCAGATGCAAGTCAGCGATCGAAGAAGGTGGGGGTCGCCTTAGTCTCAGAGGTAAATTTAGTGAGAAAATGGCCATCAAAGTTGGACCTTCCCTTTACTCAACCAAATCAGCACTTGTGATGTAGTAATTAGGTTCATTGCAGTCGCACCAAGAGACCCAAGTTCCATTCCTGAGAGGGAAGACTTTTTATCAAGTATTTCGATCTTTCTACTGGGTATACCCTGTTAATGCCGCAGGCCCTGACAGACATGCCTTAATTATCTAGTTTTTTTTAGTACGAGTTTTACGGCACTTGCAACACAATAAGGTCATATTATAAGTGCCGAAGATTAGAGGTGTTACAAGACAGTAATAAACACAAAAATAAGGAGGAGAGATCAGGATGATAGATGTTTGATAGGAAAGAAGGAGAAAACCACACCAGAGCACCCACCAACCACCCACTTATTATCTAAATTGTACCAATGAAGGTGTAAAAACTACTACATAAAAAAACCCCACCAAAAAACAAATGTTCACTTAAACAAACAAACAAACAAAACAAAACTGTTGAACGGTGAACAATCCCCACAACTCACCCTCCAGCCGCGTACTCAGCCTGTTGCCCATGCTGTAGCGTGTGGGTTCGGACCCCGGGCAGGGGAAGGAATGTTGGTGGTGCACAAAGGAGGACTTGCCGTCGGCTCGCGACTGCTGTCTGAGGGGCAGGGAGGAGCTACGTGGGTGCGACCCGGGCAGACGATCTGATCGCAGCTGTGGACAGAAAGAAAAATGTTTTGGGTTGGGGTTTTTTTTGGCTTTGTTTTGCTTTTTTTGCGGGGAATGTTTTTTTCCCTTTGTTTTTTAGTTGTGGTTTTTGTTTGTTTTGTTGGGGGTTTTTTTTGGGGGGGGGTCCTTTCTTTTTTTGGAAGGAGAGGGGGTTCTTTTTTTGGTTTTTATGAGTTTTTTTTCTTCCTTTTTGTGTTTTGTTTTTAAAAGTAGGAATTTTTATGCCCCCATCAACACATTTCAGATCATTTAGGAGGTGAGCTTCGATCCTGCCACTCTACACTGAGGGGACACTACATCCCAGCAGAAAGACCCGAGATACTCAATAGAAATTCTTCTCACACGAGAACTGAATTCAGGTACTCTGCGAGCTATAGCAAAGTGCCTAACCATTACACCACAGACGCTGGAAGCCAAAATGTCTTTTGAGAAGACAAAATCATAATCTCCATTATTATTGATGGAGCAATGACTGCTGATCCCGAAAGGAGTTATTTCATTTATAGAGAAACTCCATCTGTCTACTGGGATGATGTATCCCACTCAATGTCTGGTTTTATCGTTTTAGTAAAAGTTTTACGGCACTTGCAACACAATAAGGTAATAAAAGTGCAGAATATTAGGTGTTACAAGAGAGTAACAAACACAACAAGGAAAGAGGAGACATTAAAGGGTGATAGATGTTTGATAGGAAAGAAGAAACAAACCACACCAGAGCACCTGCCAACCATCCACCCAAGTAACACGAAAATAAAACAGCAACCAATACACTATAAAAAATTGATCGTATCAAGGACATTTAAATAGGGTGCAACATTAGTCCATAGAAAATCTACAGAGCTTATTAAGACAATGAAATATCAGAGAAAATCTCACCAAAGTCAATAAAGCTAAAATGTACATACAATTAATATAATATTTCACCGAAAAATCCCGATGACATGGAGAATTTTAACAAATTCGACCTGTACCAAAGAAGCTTAATCTACAGAAGCATTACACCACAATACGATGGACAATTTCAAGAAAACTAACGTCTAAACACAAAAAAAGAAAAAAAAACAACCTTAACTCGCCCACACAAAAAAAATCCAAGACTTACGCTTTGAGGTCATCAACAGAACCCTGAAGTTCTGGAATATCACACGTTTCCATAAAAGAATCTTCCAGAATTTTTTTTTCAAACAACCCCCCGAAAGCTAGAACAAAGAGGCGAAATCTTAACAGCGAAAATAAAAAAAGCACTGCGCCACAGTTAGACACATCCACAAGAGCACACATTAGAAAGCCCTTTCATTACCGACTGCGAGAGCACCATCAAACCCACTCAGTCATAAAAGGCATTATCGTATGCAAAACCGGTGGAAATTAGTATGCGTGAAATTGATACGATGACATCTATCTCACTCGATCCAGTTCCATCTGTTCATATACATACACAGCCTTGTGCACTCTGGTAGTCAGCTTGACATATCTGAACACGAGTCGATTGCACTTCTGCTTAGCAATGTGTTTCATTGTATAACATCAAAGTTTTGCTTAGCTATGTGTTTTACGTACAGTAGATCTATGTCACGTATGTTATGAAAGGTTCTCAGTTTAGTTTTAGTAGAGGTTAAACGGCGCTTGCAAGTGCATAAGGTCATATGAGCGCCAGAAAATTAGAGGTGCTACAAGAGAGTAACAAACATAAAAAAGAAGACGGGGAGATAAGGACGATAGATACCCGCCAACCACCAACTGAAAGGTTCTCATATTAACAGCAGAAAAAAAAAAAGAGTTGGAAGAGAGGCTGGGTAGTTGCCGGGTACTCGGATGTGGTTTGCTCCTTCGTTCCTATCAAACTTCCATCGTTCTTATTTCTCTCCTCCTCCTTTTCTTGAGTTTCGTTTCTGTCTTGTAGGCGTACAACCTTCAATCTTAGGCACTTACATGACCAAATTGTGTTGCAAGTGTTGTAAAACTCTTACTAAAACAAAGACCAAAACAGGAATGGAAAAATACAAACATTTACTTGAACCAAGAAAAGGGGTCTGTTCCATCTTTCATTTTACTCTCATTTATGGTCGCTTTTAAGGACAAGGCGGGCTAACCCAGATTTCGGGGGTTTCCAGAAATCTTGACCTACACCAAAAAAGGGCATTGCCCTACCTATAGGAGAAGTTTGGTTTCAGTGGTGTGTATATTTGTTTAGATAAAGAGAAAACGCTCCTTGTCTGTTAAAGAAACTGAACAAGGGGCAAAAACTTTACCTTCGATTTTCTCAAAACAGCCTTTTTCGGGATATCCCGCTTGTCCTTAAAAGTGACCATTTATTTTATATTATAAAAACCTTTGTATTCACAACAGAAAACACAAAACAACAAAAAATCTTGCCAGGACAATCGAAGTACGCCTGTTCTTTCTTCCAATTTTCTTTCATCTTCTTCCAGGGAGAGCAGACTGACACAATGATAAAGAGCAAGCCGACGCAATGCCCCAGGTTGACACACCCAACGACACACCCACCCGCAGACCAGACACGACAACGACAGCAGCTGGGTGGAATCACTGGTGCACGGCAACTCCCCCCCCTCCCTCTTAACTCTCCCCCCAACACTTACACTCTCTCTCTCTCTCTCTCTCTCTCTCTCTCTCTCTCTCTCACTCACTCTCTCTCTCTCTCTCTTTTTTAAATGTTAGGAATTTTCCCATCACAACTACGACATCATTATTCTCTTGTGTCTTCCCCCCCCCCCCCCCCCCTCCATTTCCTCCCGAGAACCTCACAATATATTACTCACATCCAGATGACTCATAATGTCAACATTCCCTCTCTCTAATCTAATTGCAGCAGCTTTTTACATTACAATTAAAATAAAGTAATTTTCAGCCCAACCCATTTTTCACATGCAGGTGGGTTTTTTTGACACCACCCCTATCCACAAAATTTAGATAATTTAGAAGACACGCCGCACTGACTCTGCCTATTAAGGCCAACTCGCGCTGAGAGGGATACAAGTTTCTAGTCAGTACAAAGACGGAAACACCAAATTAAAATTCTCTCCACGCGGGAATCGAACTTGGGTCTCCAGCATGCGACACCGTAGCGCTCAATCGCTACACCAAAAGCTGGTGGTGTTTTCAGCCCCCAAGTTTCGAACACTTGCCAGGCCCTGATGGCTCATGGCTCATGATGACAATGACTGCCCTTGTCTTTTAGGCAGTTTTCTTTTTTCTTTTAGTAAGAGTTTTACATCACTTGCAACACAATAAGGTAATAGAAGTGCTGAAGAGTAAGAGATGTTACACGAAAGTAACAAACTAATAAAAGGAGGAGAGAGATATATAAGGACGATAGATAATTTGCAAGGAAAGAAAGAGCAGACCACACCAGAGCACCTGCATGTCCATGGTTGGTGTGATGAAAACGAGAGGGAGAAGAGAGAGAGGAACAGAGAGAAGGAGAGGAACAGAGAGAGGGGGGGGGGGCAGAGGGAGAAAAAGAGAAAGAGAAGGGGAGAGAAAGAGATCGAAAGCGGAAAGAGGGTGAAGAGAGAAAGAGAGAGAGAGAGAGTAAGAGGGAGTGGCAAGGGGGATACTGACAGAGGAGCAAGAGAAAGAAAGGAAGCAAGAGAAAGAGGAGAGAGAAAGAAAGACAGTGAGCAAAAGAAAGAAAGAGAAGGAAGGAGGAGAAAGGGAGAGAAAGAAAAAGTGAAAGGAAATAAGAGGCAGAAAAAGACACAAAAAGAGACTAAAAGAGAAAGAGAGACAGAGAGAGACAGAGAGTGAGAGAGAGAGAGAGACAGAGAGTGAAAGAGAGAGAGAGAGACAGAGAGTGAAAGAGAGAGAGAGAGAGAGAGACAGAGAGAGAAAGAGAGACAGACAGACAGACAGACAGACAGACAGACAGACAGACAGACAGACAGACAGAGAAAGAAAGAAAAGGAGAAATAAAGAATCAACCCATTCTAAGAACTCTGTTGACCCTCACTGGCAGGGTTGAAGCAGTACACGCCTATTAAAAAAAACTGCGTCGGTGGCCAGGAGGGCATAAAACATAAAAAATAAAACATAAAACATCATCGACAACGCATCACAGAACGGAGTAACGACGGACGACGAGCTACAAATCTCCTGGCTGCCAGCCTGTCCCCGTGGTTTTATGCACCCCGCATAACTTAGCAAAATTTGATCATTTTTTGCATAATTTCTTATTATTTTACTTTATCATTCTTTGTTAAAATTAACAGAATAATCGCATAATTTCAGATTTTTGGGCTGTTTGCATGATTTCAGAATTTTTCTTGCATAAAACGACGGGGACAGATTTATAAAAACTGCGTCAGTTGCCAGGAGGGCATAAAACATAAAATATAAAACATAAAACATCATCGACAACGCATCACAGAACGGAGTTAAGATGGACGATGAGCTACAAATCTCCCAGCTGCCAGCTGCCGGCTGCCAGCACTACTTACCAGCTGTGGGTTGATGTCGGAGAGCAGCGCAGGTTTGTTGAGCTCTATGGCCCGGAAGCAGATCCTCATGGCTGCAACATACTCCTCCTGGCGAAGGAACGCATCGTCTGGGGACACACAGACAGACAGATAGAGATTTTAAAATTATAGTTTTAGTTTACATTCTAGTTTTAGTAGAGGTTTTACTGCCCTCCTTTTTTTATAGTAGAGGGTTTTACGGCGCTCGCACATGCATAAGGTCATATATGAGCGCCAGAAGATTAGAGGTGTTACAAGAGATTAACAAATATAAAAAAGAAGAAGGGGAGATAAGGACGATAGATGTTTGGATAGGAAAGAAGGAGCAAACCACACCAGAGCACCCGCTAACCACCCCACACACACAGACGGACAGACAGAGATTTTTACAGTTTTAGTAAAGAGTTTTAAGACACTTACAACACAATTAGGGCATATCATACAACTGTGATGATTTCAGTTGTAATCTCAGTAATGAGTGTTACGGCACTTGCAACACAATTAGGGCATAGCACATTACTACCGAAGATTTGAGTTTTAGTTTTAGTGTTAGTAAGCATTCTATGGCACTTGTAACACATTAAGATCATATAAGTGCCGAAGATAAGAGGAGTTGCAAGAGAGTAACAAACACACAAAAATGACTAGAGATCAAGACGATAGATGATAGATGTTTGATAAAGGAGCAAACCACACCCTAGGACGGGGGGGTAACTGAGTCTTCGGCAATTCCAAATGTTTCCATGACGTAAAGGTGGGTAAATTCAGGGTCTGGCTGGCAAGTACAGTCAGACCTGGTTAAACGGCCACCTGTATAAGACAATCAGCGGGTCTATTGACCACCTTTTTAGTTTTAGTAGAGGTTTTACGGCGCTCGCAACTGCATAAGGTCATATGAGCGCCAGAAGAAAAGAGGTGTTACAAGAGACAAGAGAGTAGCAAACAGAAAAAAGAAAAAGGGGAGATAAGGACGATAGATGTTTCATAGGAAAGAAAAAGCAAACCACACCAGAGCACCCGCCAACCACCCACGTTGAAATGTTTGAAAAACAGAATAAACAAACCGAAATGACGATTAAAATTGCAGCCGATTAAATTAACCGCTACACCAAGGTATAACCCACACGGCCGATTTAATCATCAGGTGTTGACACGTGAAGGGTTAAACGGTTTCGACTGTATCAAAGGCACGGCGCACTGGACCCTCCACCATCACGAGACGAAAAGCGTGGCTAGCCACTGGTCACATGTATTATCCTGATGAAGCCACCACATGGCTACAGGTGTGTGACCCCATTCTAGCCCGCTTTACCCTACTGGGGGGTGAGGGGGTGGGGGGGAGAGGGGAGGGGAGAGGGGAGGGGAGAGGGGGGTAGAGGGGAGGGGAAAGGGGGGGGGAGAGAGTGACAGGTGGCTGATAAGCCGGAGATCCACACACGGACATACGGACAACTCATGCTCAATGAGCGAACATCTTAGGGCAAGGACTCAACGACAAATGACAGTTTAATTCACATATTTACCTCATTATCTTATCATTATTATTATCATCATTAATATTACCATTATTATATTTATTATTATTACTATCATTATATTGATTATTATTATTATTACTATTATTATATTTATTATTGTTATTATTATTACCATTATTATTATAATGATTATTATTTTCATTTTCAAATTACAGTTTGAGTAAACAGACGCACATGGACATGCTAGCGGTCCACAGAATTGTTTTGTTTATTTATTTGTTGGGGTTCTTTTTTGCTTCTTGCATTTTCATTTTGGGGGGTGGGGGGAGGGGGGGTGTATATTGGTTTAATAGTTTGTTTAGTTGTAGTAAAGGTTTTACGGCCCTTGCAACACAATAAGATCGTGTAAGCGCCGAAGATTAGAAGTGTTACGAGAGAGTTTTTTTTAGTTTTAGTAATAATTTTACGGCACTTGCAACACAATTAGGTCATACGAAGACTATAGGTGTAACAAGAGAGTAACAAACACAAAAAAAGAAGGAGGAGAGATAAAGACGATAGTTGTTTAATAGGAAAGAAAGAGCAAACCACACAAGAGCACCCGCCAACCACCCATTGTCCATTTCTACATACTGAGTTCAGTTGAGACAATGGACCTAGAATATAACATATCATTTTTTTTTTCTTCTTGTCCTTTCCATAACACAGAGCAACAAACAAGAATATCAAACTTGTTTTTTGTTTTTTTACTAGTCTTATTATACGATTTTGATTCATTCAAATGTCAGCTGAAGTCGTTTCTGTTTTTAAATTAATAAGATGAATATTTGGAATAATTTTCTTTAGTCAGAACCAACACAACGTTTCATGTTACTGTTGTATGTTGTACTGTATTGTAAAGCGCTCAGAGCCTGTGTACTTTATTCGGGGTTGAGCGCTATATAAATGTCATTTATTATTATTAGTAGTAAATGCTCAGTCAGAGATAGGTCTGAATTTTGACTATGATGTATTTTGTTTTAGTTAAGAGTTTAATGGCACTTGAAACACAATAATATTATAGGTCATTTACTTGAAACACAATAAGATAATTTAATAACTGAAGACTAGAAGTAAGAGTGAAACAAACACAAAAAAGAAGCAGGAGAGATAAAGACGATAGTTGTTTAATAGGAAAGACGGAGCAAACCACATAGAAACACCCGCCAAGCAACACCAGTAACTCAATTGTCTATATAATTTTTTTTGTTCTTCAGGTTTCTAGTTACTGGTACGATTTTTTTTTTAATGTCTTTTATTTGTTTTGTTTCCTCGATATAGCAGTAGTTTGTTTAGTGTTCTAAAAATCCAATTAAATGTCATAAGGTTGACTTAGGTAAAAAACGGTCTTTTTTTTTAGTTGTCTCAAAACGCTGATAACTAATTGACACACTCAACTGTGTTAAGGCCATGACGATTTTTATATCATTTTTTTTTTTTGGTCAGTTTGTTTGAGTAAAGAGAACTACATTGACATAATAATGTTAATTTAATGCCGGGAAAAAGGCGAGATAAGGACGATAGATATTTCATAGGAAAGAAGAAGCAAAGATAAGGACGATAGATATTTCATAGGAAAGAAGAAGCAAACCACACCAGAGAACCCGCCAACCACCCACAGTAAGAGTTTCACGGAACATACAACACAATAAGATCATAATGTAGGTGCCCAAGATTAGAGGTGTTGAAAGAGACAGGCAGGGTCGAAGCCCACCTCCTGAACGTTCTAATGTGTCGATGGGGGTGTGAAACACCTACATAATAA